CCCTCCCCACTCCCCCCCCACACCCTCACCCACTCTCTTCCATCTCCCCTAGCTCAACTCCCAGCATGGCCATGTCCACCATGTCCATCTGCTCCAGTGACCTGAGCTATGGCAGCCGCGTCTGCCTTCCTGGTTCCTGTGACTCTTGCTCTGACTCCTGGCAGGTGGACGACTGCCCAGAGAGTTGCTGCGAGCCCCCATGCTGTGCCCCCAGCTGCTGCGCCCCGGCCTCCTGCCTGACCCTGGTCTGCACCCCAGTGAGCTGTGTGTCCAGCCCCTGCTGCCAGACGGCCTGTGAGCCCAGCCCCTGCCAATCAGGCTGCACCAGCTCCCACACATCCTCGTGCTGCCAGCAGTCTAGCTGCCAGTCGGCTTGCTGCACCTCCTCCCCCTGCCAGCAGGCCTGCTGCGTGCCCATCTGCCGCAAGTCTGTGTGCTGTGTGCCCACCTGCTCTGAGGATTCCTCTTCATGCTGCCAGCAGTCTAGCTGCCAGCCAGCTTGCTGCACCTCCTCCCCATGTCAGCACCCGTCTGCTCCAAGCCTGTCTGCTGCAAGTCCCTCTGCTGTGTGCCTGTCTGCTCTGGGGCTTCCACTTCATGCTGCCAGCAGTCTAGCTGCCAGCCGGCTTGCTGCACCTCCTCCCCCTGCCGGCAGGGCTGCTGCGTGCCCCTCTGCTGCAAGCCCGTCTGCTGTGTGCCTGTGTGCTCTGGGGCTTCCTCTCTGTGCTGCCAGCAGTCTACCTACCAGCCAGCTTGCTACACCACCTCATGCTGCAGACCCTCCTCCTCCGTGTCCCTCCTCTGCCGCCCTGTGTGCAGGCCCAGCTGCTGCATGCCCATCCCCTCCTGTTGTGTGCCCACCTTCTCCTGCCAGCCCAGCCACTGCTGCCTGGCCTCCTGCATGTCCCACCTCTGCCGCCCTGTGTGCTCCGCCTGGCCTGCTGAGGCCTCTGCTCAGGCCAGAAGCCCAGCTACTGATGGGCAAGTCCCCTAGGACGAGCCAGGCTCAGGTTCCCCCCAACCTCTCCCACTGCTGACCTCTCAGCACACGCACTAGTACACGCCGCACTAGTACACACCACACTGGTACGCACTGCACTGGTACACACCACACTGGTACACACTGCAATGTGCAAGCTGGCTGACCTCACACCCCACAGCCATGGCTTACCCATCCACTACCTCCAAGCCAGGCCCAGGCGACCACGAGACAGCCCTCTCCTATTATTGAGGGGCCCCACGTGTTCCCTGGCAGAATAGTCACCCACAGCCACAGGAGGTCCCTGGACCCCCTGCCCTTCTCCTCCAAGCCATCAGCCGCCCTTGCCCACCACGTGCCTCACACAATGAATAAACTGGCCTTCCCTGCGTCTGCGTGCTCCTCTCCCGGCCTAGTGTTCTATTTCATTCTTTCTCTGGCCCTCTGTGCAAACACAGCCCTGGCTTTGGCAACCCTAGCCACGTCGTGGGAGCATTTCTAGTGGTGCTGAGTTCCAGGCTTCCATCCCTGCAGCCCAGGCCTCCTGGATCTGCACCTCCAGGCAGCTCTCGGGGTGACCCTGCTGCAAATCCAGGATTCAGGTGGTGATGTCTCTGGTGGCACATCTGACCAGAGGACTCCTTGGCAGGAGGGGCCTGGTGCCCCCATGCCTCCCTGTCCCTGGTGAGTTTGAGGAACCCCGGGGACAGGGCCCAGATTGGCCTCTGTGCAGGGCCCTCAGCAGGCACAGCTGAAGCTGAGTGTCACTGTGGTCAACAGTTCCTGGGTGGGGTGGGGTGGGGTGGGGCCTCCCTCTCCCCTGGAGCCCTGGCATTTTATTTAAATGGCCAACGCCTTCTGTTTGTGCTTGTGAAGGGTAATGCAACACCTTTTCTGTGGCCCCAGGTCTAGCCAGGAGCAGCAGAGGTCAGAGGGAAAGAGGCCAAAGGGTACATGACCTAGGGATCCCACACTATGGGATCTGGGGCCCAAGCTGGCCACTCTTTGGGGGTTTCCTTTGGGGCCAGTGTTTCCAGGATCCCCAAGGGTCCCACACCCAGGCTCACTCCCCATCAGAGCGGCCTCCTCACCTGCTGTCCCCTCCACACCACACCAATGCCACCGCCCAGCTCCTGAGTCCCCCCAGCTGCAGTGGAGCTGGAACAGGGTAGGACTGAGAGGGTTGCACAGGGCTGCAATCCCAGGAGGCCCTGAAATCCAGCAAAACGTTCCCAGGACCCTCAGTGCAGGTCTAAGATCACCTGGCCTCTGTCTCCTCTGGAGAGTGTGGGCAGATGCCCTCAACTGGGCCGGCTTTTCCAGTGCCACTCTCCCTGCAAGGTCCTTCAGTGAGGGGAGACCCTCAGTGAGAGGAGGGCCCTCCCGCAATTAGAACAGGGTTGGTGTCAATAGGTTCAGATGGACTGGGTCCTACCATCATCTTCCTAGGCCCTGGGGGTGGGGAGGCAGCTGGGACCCTGCCCCCTCCTTCCCTGGGGTACCCCACCACCACCACCACCACTCTCCAGGGGTCCCTACCATGGAACATGGGGTGAGAGAAGCCAGTTCCCCACTTCCCTGGCTGTTGGGGCCTGAAATTTTCTGTGGCCTGTCAGTCCAGATTTTCCCCCGTCTGTGACATCATCAGCCTCCCTCTAGCCAAGTCCACTCCCAACCCCCAGGGAACCCACACAGTGGGGGGTGGCCCTGACCTGCCAGAGCTGTTGGCCTCCAGCGGCAGGTAAAACCCACGGCCTTCTCAGAACAGGTTTCTCAACACATGAGACAGAACACACCAGACTTCCAAGGGGGACACCTGGATGGAGCTGGTTACCCAGATCGTTCAGAACCAAAGGGCAGCGGCTTGAGAATCTTTCCACCAAGGCTTGGATGAACAAGAGGAGCAGGGGTCTCTCCAGGATGGGCCCACACGAAGTTTCCACAAATCTACCATAGGGACCAGAAGCAGAGCCTTGTTGGGTGACAGTGGCAGGTGCTGCCCACTCAGCCGTGCGCTGCCTCCGCACCCATCACTGCGGAGATGTTTTCAGGAGAAAGATGCAGCAGCTCCCACCCAGTCACAGCCCCTGCACGCCATCCATGGACCCTGGAAGGAACCCAGCTGCCCTGGATGCCGCCCTGCCCAGATACACTGACCTGTTCTCCATGGCCGGCGATGGCCTGTCCCCAACGACTGGTGACCCCTCCCTGGCGCCCCAAGCTCAGCCCCTAACCCCCAGCTGCAGATCGAGGCCTGGTGCGAGCACGGGTTCCCCCAGACCCTTCCCAGTGCCCACCGGCAGCCTAGGCCGGGTAGAGTTGGCAGCGCCTCCCCTGTTGCAAGACCAGGCTCTGGTAGAAACCTCAGAAAACATGCACCGGCAAAACCAAGGAAGGGCGGCTGCGTCCCGGGTTCTTCCGCGCAGGTGTGTGTACCCGCAAGCACTGACCCACGCGCACACACCCACGAGCACACACCCATGCGCACACACCCACGCGCACACCCATGCGCGCACCCACGCTCACACACCCACGTGCATGTACCCATGTACACACCCGTGCGCACACTGCTGTCCCCAGCCGTGCAGTACGACCCTCCCGGAGTTCCCGGCTCCGACCCGCATGCAGCACACTCTAAACGCTTCCCACGCAGTCATTTTGCTGCGCTGCACTTCACCCACTTCTCAGAGGAGGCAACCGAGGTGGAAGTGCCAGTGGGGGGTATTGAGCAGCTCCGGGACTCAGGGGTCGCTCCGCCACCGCTATCCTGCCCCAGCTGCTGGGTCAGGGGCCGGGGAGGGGCTCCCCAGGCTGAACCCGACTGGGTCACCCTAGAAACGAGTTTCTCTTCTGTTTCTCTTCTGTTTCTCTTCGGCGCCCCCAAGCCCCTGACAGTGCCCAAGGTGCCCATGGGATTGGATTCGCCAGAGTCCCCTATGCAGATCCCACCCAGGGCCAAAGCCACCCCCAAGCCCCACCTTGGTGGGGGCGATGAAAAGTGAGCCATCGAGAGATGGGGTCCCTCCACCCCCAACCCCTCCAAGGACAGAAGCGGGCAGGGAAGCACCCACTTTCACGTCCGTCCCCACCCGACTTTCCTAGTGGAATTGGTGCCCGCATCAGTTGGGGGTTCTGGGAACAGTAAGGCGGGGTCGCCTCCATTTATCAGTTGGGCGGGACCAGGGAGCACCCCTAGCCCCAGCCCAGGCCATCAGGGTGCGAAGTTCACTGGAGGCGGATTTGGGATTAGGAGGGGGCGACATCCAGGAGGACTGCACCTGCCCTCCCCACTCCTGCTGCTCCACCCCCGCCCCCACCCCAACACCAAGGTCTCCACCAGGAAGATGGGGGTGGGGAGAGGACGCAGGGTGGAGAGGGTGAGGGGAGAGAGGATGCGGGGTCAGGAGGGTGAGGGGTAATGGCGGAGGCTGAGGCTCCGCAGCTGCGGGGCACAGGGAGGGGCAGAGGAGGGGCATTCAGCTGTGAACCGAGTCCAGACCCATCGGGGCCCTGCGTGTGCGGCTCCTTATCCTGGAAACAGGGAGGCTGGAGACCCTTGGCTTGTCTGGAGCAGAACCCTAGTGTCCAACAGAGTGCATGGGGCTCAGCCCTAAAACTAAACATTCTTTGTTTCCTGATGACCGTGGGGACGCAGTGGGGGATGGGGGGAAACGCCCTGGCCTTATAGTTTAGAATTTTATAAAAGGAAAGGCTTGGCCACTGACAGTTTGCTCTTCAGGAGTCCCACAGTGACTGACTGGCTCCGGACAGGGAATGAGGGGGTCCTTAATGCTGATATTTGTTTTCCAAGAGACAAAGGTGATGGGTGAGGCAGCTAAGCCTCTATAGGTGGGTGTCATTCATTTCAGAACATGAAGGGATAAATAAACATGATAGAAAAATGCCACAAGCCCTAGGCCCACTGGAGTGGACTGGACAGTCTGTTCCCAGTGGGTCCCTCAGCCTCGGTCCCCCACCCTGTCCCAGAGCCCTGGGGCTCACACACATCCTTCCTGGCTGCCTGGCCTGTGGCCCCCGATCCCCTCCTCCCACCGCCCCCCGCACACACACACCACACACAGCACAAGGCAATAGAGATATGAGAGAGAAAGAGCCAGCAAGGACGGGAGAGAGAGGGAGTGCAAGTGTGCGCTGGGGGTAACCTGTGCATGCATGCACTGGGGGTAACAGGCTGGAGCTCAGATCCTTCCTCCAGCCCCCAGCAAGGGGGACTTCAGGCTCCTGCTCTGAGTGGGGAGCTGGGCCCACTGGACAGAGGACAGGGCCGCCTGCGGGTCAGGAATGGGTATTCTTCCTAACTGCAGGACACTCAAAGAGCGTTGGTCATGCACACGCAGCCAAGAGAAGGTGTCACTGGCACAGAGCCTTCCAGAGCAGCCTTGGGGACCTCGCTAGGGACCAGGACTCCCACCACTCACACTCCTTTAGGCACTGAAGTCCAGAGGACAGAGGCTGAGGGCAGAGCTCCTGGGAGCACCAGTGGAAGTAGGAGGGCTGGGCTGGAAAACCTCCCCAACCTCCTATTGCAAAGGGGCTCCAGCCAGCAGCCTCCAGGCCCCAGTGATCTTTTAAGATGCAAATCTGCACCATCATTTCCTCAGTGCCATCTCCAGTTCCTGGGATGCACCCCGCCCATCCCCAGGGCCAGAGACCTGACCACCCTCATTCCTCCCTCAGCCCACCCTGGGGTCTCTCCACCTGCTGACAGCCTTCCAAACTGCAGTCACCTCCCCAAATGCTGCTCCCTGAGGCCCCCCAGGACACCTGCAGGGCAGGCACAGCCCATGGGACCTCACAGCACTCGCTCCAGGCAGAGCGGCAGTTTGGCCAAGTTACCAGCTCCGTGTGGGCAGGGCCCTGGCCTGTGGCTGCCACATCCCGGGCGGGGGCACGGCCCTTCCTGGCATAGATGCTGAGCAAATGTAGGGGGAAGGGGAGTGGATGAGGAGAGCTAGGTAGTTCAGGGGCTGAGGCCTCACTGAGCAGGGTCCTGCGTGACCGGTACCCACCGCTGACCGTTCCTGCGGTAACACTCAGGACAGGGAGAGGCAACGGAAAGAGACCTGACAGCCCTCGCATCCTGCAGTTCCTCCACTCCCAGCCTCTCAGCCCTCCCCCTGCCCAGACCCCCAGAGCCCACCAGTGACCCCGGCCACTGGGTCCAGCCCTCCTCAGAGGGTTCCCACGGAATCTCCCGCCTTGACCTCCTGTCCACGTGGAGGTGACGTGGGTTGCTCTGAGTGAGGGGTGCTGAGCCTAGGGTGCAGCCCACTCTCCTGGCTCCGCAGCACCACGCAGCCCGGACCACAGGCTCCTTAGAAGAATCGGAAGGGTCCCTGCCCTTCCACTGAGGCTTGGCAGGGAGGCTTTGCGCTGAGGCTTCCTACGGTGGATGTGAAAACACAGGCTTGTCCTCCACTGCTGCCCACGGGGCTGGAGCCGTCTGAAATTCCCAGCCCACAACTTCCCCAAAGCCTGCCAGTCACTTGATGAGCAAACTAAGTCCTAGAAAGCTGCCGGACAAGGCAAAGCGAGAGGAGAGGGGAATGAGTGCCGGAAATCAAAGCAGGTTCCCCTCCCAACTCCTCCAGAGAAGGGGCATGGGCCCCGTGGCAGACCCAAACCCCCAGCCTCACGACCGCCTGTACCCTGCGGGTCAACCACCAGCCGCGGCTCCACGCCGCGGGCACAGACTCAGGGAGCAGGATTAGAAAGCTGAGAAGGCGCAGCCAGGGCCCGGTGCCTTCACGCACACACGGCACAGCCCCAGCCAGCGGGGCCCATGCGAAGGCGGAATCCCACAGAACCCTACAGCGCCAGCAAGCGCCTGTGCTTCCCCAAACGGAATGGAACCAAGGTGACTTCTACAAAACGATCTGAAACCCTGGCTGGCCCTTATGCAATTCTCTTGGGAGTGTTCCAAATTTAGCTCAATATTACTTGCTTGACTTTTATCTTTCCTCCCTGGTTCGTGGTATTTATAACTGGGTCATCTTTTAACTATTTGCAACGTAGCTTCAGGGGAGAGGGGGCGGGTTTTATAAATAATCTGTATTATTATTATGCAGGTTGATTCTGTTCCCCAAGCTAAAGGGAACATGAAAATACATGTCTGTGACTCATGCCCCCCACCCCCCCAACTCCAGGGTGTGCTGAGGAGTCGCTCAGCTGCCCCGGGGTCCCCAAGCCGGGGAGGGAGAAAGGCTGGCATTGGGCCCCAGATCGCGTGAAGCCAGGGGATTTTGCTCTGCGACAAGCTGACTTGGCTCTCGTATTGTTTGCAGAATCACCCGGTTCCAAGGCAGTCCCTGCGGGCAGGTGCAGCTGTGCTGGAGCCCAGGGAGCAGGGGCTTCAGTCCTGTCCCCAACACGCAGGCAGCAATGGTTCCAGCACGGAAGACCTGCCTGCCTCCCACCGCACAGCCCCAGGGCCGCCCTGGAGGCACAGTCGGCTGTCCCTGGGTGGGTGGAGACGTTTATGACCCCCACCTCCACCACCCACGCGAGTCAGCACGGTCCACACTCGGGTGATCGTGCTCATCCCCTGGTCATGTCATTGGGATCTGAGCGCCATCCAAGCAGAGAGCTGTGGCCCGGTGCCTGGGGTAGACTTCATCTATTCCAGGGAACCAAGGATGCATGATTTGCAAACAAAACCAGAAGCGCAAGCCATCTCCTCACCTACCCCGACAGGCGCTGCCGAGCCTGAGTGCTCGAGTCACTAATTTACTGTCCTGGTTTCTAGCAACCAGGTCTAGTTGTCCTGTTCCTTTATTAAATTTTGGTTTGATAAGTAAAATCCCTCAGTAGAAACTCTAGAAAAGTATTAGTGTGCCATGGTCAAGAGCAAGCCAAATAGCCTTTCTAAAAGGTGGGAAGGAAACCCCCAGGCTTCGCCAGGACCCCCCGGGTGAGCCAGCCCAGTGCTCTCCACTCAGACCAGGTTATGCCCCAAAGATCCGAGCTCTTCACTCCGGAGATGGTTGCGTTTGGGGCTGTGCCTGTGTCTCCAGTTTTTCGCTCATATGGGGAAGGAGCAGGGCTGGTGTGGCCTTTTGCTTTGCTGAGTGCAGGCTGGGGGCATCTCCAGCAGCTAAGGAAACGACTCATGCACAGCGGCCTGCTGGGCTGCTGCGACTTCATGCTTCATTCCCAAAGCAGGTGTCAGCCTTTCCCCCCTCCCTTCCCCCACCGGGAGGCCCAGCAGGTAAGCACTTGTGGAGGCCCCAGTGGCTGCTGGTTAGCTCTTGAAGCTCGTCCCCACCCTGCGTGCGTTCTAAAGAGCCGCGTTTCTATTGCAACTGCCCGCCCTGCGCTTTCATCTTTCCCACCTGTGCTCCTCCCGCCTCTGCCCGTCTCCCCAGGGTGCTACCTGCCAGTCCTGCCAAAGCGTCCTCGGGCACCACGGCTTGAATCAGTGTTCGAAAGTGGCATTTGCAACTCGACACCCCTCCCAGCTCCCCTGCAAGTTCCCCCTTCCCAAGTCCCTGTGCCCCTGCCCAAGTCCCTGTGCCCCTGCCTTACCTGTGCAGGGCTCCCAACGCTGGGTGCCGTGGCTGGGGGCCACCAGGGGCAGCACAAAACACAGCCTCAGCAGGGCAGACATGAGGGGCTTGGGTGCCAAGCTCCATCCAGGGCTCGGCTCAGCCGGCAGGGAGGTGGCTGCTCCTCAGACGTCTGCGTCAGCCTTTCCAGGGGCGGCCGTGGGGCCCCCGGGGGTCACTGCGACGGCCACATGCCAGCGGCGGGCGGTGGGGACAGAGGTGGCCCTGGCGGTCGCGGTGGGGAAGCTTCTGGTTGCTGCCTGCGGGAGGCAAGTGGCCCTGGCAGGTGGGGCTGCAGCCGCTGGTTTATCTCATTTCCCTGATGGGCTTGGGTCCTGCGTGCAGGTGACAGGTGATAACAATCTCGGCACGGCCTGGGATTAGTCGCTGGCAAAGCACACTTTCCAAAAGGAAAGACAGAACTAGGTCGTGCTGCGGAGAGCTGAGAACAAGCCGGAGAAACTTAGAAGACCCGTTTCCCTCGGGCGCAGGCTCCCTGGGCTCACCGCCTTTTAGGACCAGGGGCACAGGCGACCATGGCAGGCCAGAAGCAGGCAGGGTGGGTGCACTTTGGCTGGGGGTTTGGGCAGCAAGTCCCCACAGTCTGCTGGAGGGTCCTAGTGGCAGGTCCAGGCTCTGCCAGGGAGTCCTAAAGGCAGGTCTGGGCTCTGCTGGGGGTGGGGGTGGGGTCCCAGAGGTAGGTCCTCTGCTCTGCGGGGGGTGGGGGGTCCAGGTGGCAGGTCCTGGGCTCTGCTGGTGGGGGGGGTGGTGGTCCTGGAGGCAGGTCCCAGGCTCTGCTGGGGGTCTAGGCGGCAGGTCCCGGGCTCTGCTGAGTCCCCCAGCGGCAGCGGCCGTCCCCAGGAGGGGCTGGGCTCCCTCGGAGGGCTTTTTATCTGGTGCCCAGCCCTCCTGAGGGTGTGTGGGTTTGTCAACTGTTGGGTTTCAGGAATTTCCCTCTGGAGGGAAGTCGGTCCTTAAAGGGAACAGCTAATGAGAAGGAGCAGAGGCAAGTGTCCCTCGGGGAAGGGGCGCGGCCATGGTCACTCATCCAGTGCCGAGGACCCTCGCGTCTGACCTCTCGACACTGCAATGGGCATGAAATGCCACTCGAGGGGAGCAGCTATTAACTAGGAGTGTTCTTTTTACAAAAGTGCCCTGCCCCCCTACCCTCTCCAAACAGCACCGAACGCAGCGTTCTTGCAGAAATTGCCAACGCAACTGGGTGACGGGTTTCTGTGTCTGGTGCGGAGGCCCTGGCAAACTGGTCTGAGGCCGACGGCTTTCCCTGGTTCACAGGCCCACAAAATGCACACTCCTGCTGGTTTCAGAAGGAAGCCCCAGCTCCAGGACCTCAGATACAATGAGTTTTCCAAGAGCACAGACCCTGTCATTAGGGCTTGTTGAGAGAGACAGAGACAGAGACAGAGGGAGGGGAGGAGAAAGGGGCCGAAGAGAGGGACAGAGAGTGAGGAAAGACCTAGAGGGAGTGGGAGAAAGAGAAAGTGGGGAGACACAGAGAGCTCCTGGGGCACTGGAGGCTCTTCCCATAAACAGCACCTGTGATCAGAGAGACTCATGCTCTCTCCCTCCCTCTTCCTCTGTTACCCGACCCCACCCCCAGGGATATTAATTCATAATTAATATTAATTTACAGATATTAATTCGTAATCCTATTTATGAAGCTCGAGTTAACTGGCATCATATGAAAGGAGGTTGAAGGTCTTCCATTGCATGTGACTCCTCTTCCAGCACCCAAGTGAGCCCTGGGGTGGGGTGTGCCTCCTTCCGCCCCAGGACCCCCTGCCAGCTCCGGCGGGCACACGGTGCAGGGACAGAGGCTTCCTGAGTGGGCTCCCCACCCCTCTGGGGCTCAGCAGCTGGAAACGCTCCGCACAGCACCATTCATGACAACCCTAACCTGATGAGGGAGGACGTGGTTCCCTAAAGGAGCAAAAGGCCTGATCGTTGTGTAAATGGAATAAATGGAGTCTTCCTCTTTTGTTTCCCAATCGATGGGAACTTCATCCTGGGCCAGCTGCGGGTCACAGTGGCCTCTGAAACCACGCCCCTGGGGGGTGGGGACTCCCCGCAAAGGATGGGCAGGTGGCACTCCAGAGCTCATTTAAAGAATCACAATTATGTTGCCTTGAACCCTTCTGGGAAATTTTCCTTATGTTACATTTGATGCAGTCATACTAGTAATAGTCTCAAAGATAAATAAGGGTGAGCCAGTGGAAATACTGCTCATATACAAAACTTCACAAAGATGTGCTGAGCGCAGGAGGAGGAAAACTCAGAGTTCCCTCCTCTACAGCTCAGAGTTCCCTCCTCTACAGCTCCCTGTGTGACCCTGGACAAGTACTTAAATTCCCCAAGGTTTAACTTCCACGTCTGTAAAATGTGCCTAGGAGGACCTGCATGGTAGACTGTCCTATAAATTAAGTGATAGATATAATGTACCTAAAGCAGCATTTCTTGAACCGTGACCCAGGGAACACCAGCTCCAAAAACGCTCAAGGAGAAAAAGCAGGTGCATTTGTAGGTGGGCTCCACTGCCCCTTCCTCAGGAACACAAGCTTGGCTCACCCACGCGGAGCTCTGAGACACTGGTGATCAGAAGCCTGCCTAGGCTGGGCGAGGTGGCACCCACCTGAAAGCCTAGCACTTTGTGAGGCTGAACTGGGAGGACTGCTTGAACTGAGTTCAAGACCAACATTGGCAATATAGTGAGACCCTATGTCTACAAAAAATTTTAAAAATTAGCTGGAGGTGGTGGTGTGCACCTATAGTGCCAGCTACTCAGGAGGCTGAGATTGAAGGATCACATGAGCCCAGGAGGTGGAGGTTACAGTGAGCCATGATCATACCGCTGCACTCCAGCCTGGGCGACAGAGGAAGACTCTGTTGATAGAGAGAGAAAGAGAGGGAGAGAGGAAGGGAGAAACAAGAAGGAAGGAAGGAAGGAAGGAAGGAAGGAAGGAAGGAAGGAGAGGAGAGAGGAGGGAAGGGAAGGGAGAGGAGGGGAGGGGAAGGGAGGGGAGGGGAAGGAGTCCCCACCCAAAGCTCATGTCAAATTGTAATTCCCACATGTTGAAGAAGGGGCCTGTTGGGAGGTGATTGGATCATGGGGGTGGTTTCTAGTGGTTTAGCACTATCCCCTTCGTGCTGTCTCATGGTGGAATTCTCATGAGATCTCTTTCTTTAAAGGTATAGGGCATTCCCCTTTGCTCTCTCTGTCTCCTGCTCCACCATGGTAAGATGTGCTTGCTTCCCTTTCACCTTCCGCCATGATTGTAAGATTCCTGAGGTCTCCTAGCCATGTTTCCTGTTAAGCCTGTGGAACTGAGTCAATTAAACCTCTTCTTCATAAATTACCCAGTCTCAGGTAGTTCTTCATCACAGTGTGAAAATAGACTAAGCAAGAAAGAGGAAAAGAAAAGACAGAAACCCCCCACATCATATGTATCAAAGTCTCATGGAGATGAATCCCCAGAACCCACTAAGAGAAATGCATGTGTAAAGAAGAAAGCATGTCCCTGCCATAACATCAGACATCAGGGCTGAGCTTCATTCCCGGGAAGCAGGTTGGGTAAGCACTGCAATTGTTAATGAGGGAATTCATGGCCCACCAGGCCCTCACAGCATAGGAAGGAACAGCAGCCCATCCCAGGTCTGCTAACTCTGCCTCCAAACAATGAAAGAGAAAATGTCCCAAGAACTTCCCCCAAACACTTCCTGGTGCAGGCTGTCACTCAATTTGTCTGCTTCAAGGGAAATAGAGACGATCAATAGAAGCGGAGGAGGGCTCCATCTATTCTCTAAGGACACAGGTTGTTAATCAAGTCAGATCAGTAAGCAAACCCCAGGAGGTCATCATGGGCTTCATCAAGCTGCAGAAGTAACCCTGAGCATGTCATTGTTTGGCCAAAGGTGCCTGTGAAGTGTGTCCATGTCTTTAAATGTTCAACCTACCCCAACCAGGGAACAGTGCATTCTCCAAGAAAACAAGAAACAGAGCTCAAAGAGAAACTGGAAATGATAACCGTATGTTACAAAAATAACACTCTTGCATTCACTCTTCCAGTTTTGGGTTCTATTAAACTAAACCATCACTTCTGTGGTCTATGAACCCCAGAAGGACTTTGTATTTTGGTTTTTGTTGCTTCCTTTTTGGAGACAGTGTCTTGCTCTGTCACCCACGCTGGGGTGTAGTGGCAAGATCATGGCTCACCGCAGCCTGGAACTCCTGGCCTCAAGTGATCCTCTTGCCTTAGCCTCCCAAGTCGCTGGGACCAGAGAGGCACATACCACCATACCCAGCTAATTTTTAATTTTTTTGTAGAAATAGAGTCTCACTATGCTGCCCAGGCTGGTTTTTAATAATTTAAAGTCACAACAATTCTTCCAGGATACACCATCACTTGGTATATAATGACCACTGTTGTATGATGTTTGAAAAGGTATCTGGAAAAAAAAAAAGAAGGCACGCACATGTCATCTGACAATGAGTTTAGATAGACTGGGGAGTACTTGGCAAGCCTAGACAATGAACATTAGCCAACTGTCTGGGTGATATGGCCTGCCTCTGAGTCTCCTCCTAAATCTCATGTTGAATTGTAATTCCCAGTGTTGGAGGAAGGACCTGGTGGGAGGTGATTGAATTATGAGGGCGGATTTCTCCCGTGATAGAGGGTTCTCAGGAGATCTGATGGTTTAAAAGTGTGTGGTGCTTCCCTCCTTCACTCTCTCTCTCCTGCTCCACCATGGTAAGACGTGCTTGCTTCCCCTTCACCTTCCACCATGATTGTAAGTTTCCTGAGGCCTCCCATTCATGCTTCCTGTTAAGCCTGCAGAACTGTGAGTCAAATAAACCTCTTCATAGATTACCCAGTCTCAGGGAGTTCTTTATAGCAGTGTGAGAATGAACTAATACACTGGGGTTATATGCTCTTGGGCCAGGCCCTCCAAGGCTGGGCTCCCATCACTGAGCAACTAGGTCCATCAGTCATTGAGTCACCTGGCCAGGCACATGTGAAATCCATTGTCTCCAGAAAATACATGC